GTGCGACAGACACCACATTTGCTTTCACTACTACAATATGACATACTAATGGCTTGTCACTTCTCAGGCTGACTTATTTCTTCCTGATAACATTTAAATGGCATTAGTAGATACTAGAGTCACAAATCTGACGTGTACGCTTAATCACACCTCTTCACTTTCCAAATAATGTTTCCATGTTAGAGCACTATTAAGCTTTTATTAAAATGACAGCAACATCCCTATGAATCAGATAAATGCACTTGTTTTTATAACATTTTGATTAGATTAGAGTTAGTATGGCTTCTTATTTACTTGTGATGATGGAAAAAAAATAAAAAGAATAAACCTTTAAACCTCTCCCAGAAAGTTCCTCACTTTAGGTCCATATTTTATGCTATTACAGTAGCACTTATTTAAATGAAACATTAACATTGCATTAAGGATCTAAATACAGTAAGCACAGCAACTAAAAAGGAAGAACAAGCTGTCTTCTATTGTTAAAGATCATTCCAAAATTGATTGGATCTGAAACAGTGTTCTTAGGGACCTCATACAGACACAGAATCAGCTAGCAGTGATGGGACTATGATTCTTCACCCTCTTCCATTTTTGCTTTTAGCAATAGCTAAGAAAAGAGAACCAGGATTTTCTGAGGTTTCATGAGGCACATGAAAATAGGTAATGGCTTGTATGGCGGGCTTCCTTACTGAGAAGAAAAGGCCTCATTATGAAATAACAAGCAAGAAGACAGACAAACTGTCTCGAAAGCTGCTGCTTTTGGAAGAGCAAACCTCCCATAAAGGCAGTGTCGAACTATGTGACTGTGACTAATATCAGGCCACATAAAAGTTTTGGAAGAAGTAGAGAGAACTGAATCAAGAGAAAGGATACAAAGATTATACTAGAAACAATGTGAACTAAAGACATCTCCCAGAGCTAGTGAATTTGTAGCATACACAGCCCTGACCTCTGTACTTAATTTTTAGAAAAATTCTGAAAACTATCCCTTCTGGACTGACATGAAGCAAGAGTTTGTCACTGAGAAAGAGAATAAAGTAAATTAGTATCATCAAAAATCTGATGAAAAGTGAGACTACCAGATAGCATGGCACAAAGTATAAAACCATCACAACCACCTTAACTTTCTTTGAGTTATATGCATAGGTTGCTCCAAAAGTAATGTCTCCTATTTCTTTTCATGGAAAACACAACAGATAGAAATAGCACAGATCTGTTTGATAGAGCAAATGCTCAGCTACAAAACACAACTCCTCAACAGAGTCACCACCATTAGCTGTGCATTCTTGCCAGTGACGAACAAGAGACCGCATGCCACACTCATAAAAATCTGAATCACGGTCTAGAACACGGCTTGTCTTTCTTATCCCCGTCACCACTGCTGAAATGCACCACCAATCACCTCACTGTGCTCACATCCACTGCTTAGTCTCCATAAATATTCAGCAAGCATTGATGAATGTCAATGAGTGTCATTTTTTTTCGGGTGGGGAAATTCCATGACAGACATCTGTTTCATACCTGTTTCCATGTCAGGCACTATTTTGTCAGGCTGCCCCTCTGCTGCCATTTGTCATACAACAACATGTAATGGGACACTGGGGAGAAGGTTCAACTTCTACCGCCATAAAGCCAACAACTGCCTCTGATGTCATGGGCCAGCATAATAAAATAATAAATCAGAACACATTTCTTTCAGAGCAACCCTCATATTTCAAGAACTAGCTTACAGGAGGTGGATTAAAGAGTAACTATTCTTTGGGAAGTCCTATTAAAAAAAAAAAAGTATATGTATGCAAAAGTACAGGGTATTTAATCTATGCTTATTTTTCCCATAAATTCAGCAAACAAAATGTTACATTCCATTATGTCTGCACTACACTGAAGAGCCATTCAGTGCATCTTCACAGCCTATTCTGGGACACTGATCCTATATTTGGTTATGCTGATTTTACACTAAGAGGAAAAGAAAGTTACTGTCCAGTTACATCTATGTAAGCAAATGCACTGTTGTGTCCCTCTAAAGTCAAACTCTGTCAGCATGCAGAAACAGACAAGATCAGCATAGGAAACTACATGAGTGAAGGGAGGGAATGAAATGAGCACTAAAATAAATTCAGAGAAAGTAAAAACTGTTCCTTTTTTTTGGACACAGTGTCAGTCTCCCATTACAGAACTGTGAGATATGACAGTGATGAAAAACAAAGCCAGGATAAGAAGAAATTAAATTATAAAAAACAGTATCTGACATTAAATACATGATATGCCAAGATATGCAAACAAAAATCTCTTACTCTTTCCAATGAAAATTAAGAGCAAATATATATTGAAAACTAAATGCTTACCTGACAGAATATATTGGATTCTTCCCAAATAGCATGAGCTTCAGCGTCTGCTGTGTTCCTGCTAGTAAGCTAGCAAATGCTGTGAGATCCCAAAAGTGCAGCTTTGTTTTAAAACCAGGAATCAGATCCTTACATTCAGTTAGCAATGGTGACTGCTTGGCCTGAACTTCTTCAACTAATTGGTAATCCTATTCATCAAGTCAATTTAAAACACTTCTACCTATTTCAACAGACCTGGGCAAACTTATCTGCATGATGATAATTCCCTCTGCACAAGTAAATGTGCCACACACAAGTCAGTGTCCCTACAAGAATGGCTACAGTGTTATATTCTTGCCTAACCATATTTTATTCATGGATTTACTATTTTCCATCAATCAAGTCCCAGAAGGTTTCCTTTCAGAAAGCAGAGCAGATGACCTGAGTCACCACAACACACAGCAAGGAAACAAGGTTTGGAGGGAATAGGAGAGGGGCTGTTCATTTTAAGTGGGGCGTCATAAAAAATAAATTAGGAAAATCCAAAGTGTTTTTAAATAAATAAATAATCATCAACCTTCAGAGGAAGACTGAAATGCAGCAGCCTCAAGTATTAAAAATGCAAGGAAGCAAAATGATTCAAGTGCTTTGATGCTTATAGGGAAACTAACAAAAATATTAGATTCAGACTGTTTTCCCAGTGATCTGATAATAGGATTCTCTCTCTTATTTTTTTAATATATATTTTCATTCCAATTACTGCTATGTTTTGCTTTGCATGAAAACCAGACCTTTGCCCCTTGTTACTAAAGCTATTTTCCTGCCTGAAAACAGTCTTCTATAGACGAAACTTTAACAGCAAACTATCATTAAAAGTAGAAGATGATGGCAAAAGCATCAGATGATACCAGAGCAACTGATATGGATGCTCAAATGACACAGAGAAACAAGAAGTATGGCAAAAGTTTCTCGATAGATTTATGGGAAGCTAAGCATCAAGAGCACATAAAAAATATTCTATTTTTTATGCAAATACCTTCTGTCATTGCTGGGTGAAATCTGACAATCTCAATAGAGATTTAATATGCTTTCTCCTATTGACAACTCCATCTTGAAACACAGTGTTTGAATTTAGAAGTGCAAAAGGAAATCAACAAGAGCAGACAAGCTTTGAGTCATACTGGACTATTCCTACTGCAGTAGGACAAAAGGATGCAGTTTTCAAAGCCGTGAACACATGCTCATGTTCTTGTAGCACATCAGGGCTTACAACCAAAATAATCACAAATCAGTCAACGCTTTATCACCAGTCTCTGACTTCAGGCTCCACCTCCCAAGACCAAGAAACTAATAGCTTCCACTTTCCTGAAAAGTAGGATCTGAATCAGCTGGAAATGACCAGGAGGGAAAACTGATCTCTAATCCACAACTGTAATGTTTCAGGTTTGGAAAGCAAAACGGAACAGGGGGGAAAAAAAAATAAAAAATAAAAAAAAATTGCTGCCTGTTAACAATACACAGTGTTACAATATATGTTAAGAAACTGCTCTGCAAAAATGTTCTCTCAGTGCTGCTACAACTGTCCTTGTAGTGTAGTACTCCACTTCTACTTGAAAGCTCTGCCTTTAGAGCTGCAACACACTTCTTTCCACTTTTCTAGTAGCTTGGACAGGTAAACAAAAAGACCACAGTCTCTGAAAAAAACCCCACATCAACTCATCAGATCACCTAGGCTGGAAGAGACTTTCAAGACCAACAATCAATCTGACCTGTTGCATCCCAACACACATGTCCCTTAGTGCCATGTCCACATGTCTCTTAAAAACCTCGAGGGACGGGACTCCACACACTCTTCTGGGCAGCCCATTCCAATGCTTGACCACCCTCTCCATGAAGAAATTCTTCCTAATGTCAAATCTCAACTTTGCTTGGTATGACACCCATTTCCTTGTGTTCTACCACTTATCACCTGAGAGAAGAGACCCATCTTACTTCAGCTGCTTTCAGGTAGTTGTAGATGAGGGCTCCCCTCAGCTTCTTGCTCTCCAAAATAAACAACTCCTATTCCCTCAGCTACTTTTCATAAATCTAGTTTTCTAGGCTCTTCACCAGTGCTCTTTGCACTTCTCTGCAAGCTCTATTCTGTGAGAAAAACACGCTAGTTCAAGGCCTACAACAACACCAAACAATTATTTGAAGCAAACACTGTTCGTACAATCACAGTATAAAACTGGATATGGTCTTTTAATATTATGTTTTTATGTTTGTTTTTAAATATGCATGACATTTTGTAGTGGAGAAGTGCATACAGTACCTGTTGTTACGCTTATGTGACTCTTTAAAAAGTTTTCATAAAGACAACAGGTTACCAGTGAAAAATAACATCAGCTCATCAGGTTCTTCAGGTGTTCTTCTGCAAAGCTATGAAATAAATAACAGTTCACCTCCTCCTTGGAGAGACCTAACACAAAATTTTCATGTATAATCACCGTAAAGTCTTCCCTCCTCCCCACAGCTTCATATTCTACCCAACCCCTCAATTTCAGAAGACTTTTTTTTAAAAAAGAAGCAAGAAAAAGAAAAGAAAAGAAAAACAGCTTATAAAACCACAAAGAAAATAAAGTTATTTTAATATATATATAAAGAGAACAAAATGAAACTTGAGGGAAAACTTACTGGCGTTACAGTTTATCCTGATACAGTCTAGATGGGGAAAAATAAATGAAAGATGAAATTGCATCCTTCAAGGTAACAGCTGCAGACATCCAAAAACAATCAAGTCCACCCTTCCGGGGACAGACACACGCAAAGAGATGTGGCCATTTTATATTTATATACAGTCTGTACAAGTTCAGAAGTGGATGTATATGTACAGTATATTCTACATAAATATTTGTTACATAAATATATATATATACGTAAACATATATATACACACATATGTATAAAGAGATATACCAATATACATATATATCCACACTTAACATTTTATTTTTATAGAAGACTATGCATCTAAGAGTATCTTCTACTCCAGACCATGAAAACTGATGTGAATTACAAGAAAAAAAAATTGACAATTAAGCACAAAAAAATCTCTCTTAAAATGCAAATCATACTCCAGTGTAATTTCTCTTTTTAAAAACCTTCAGCAATTTCTCTAAGAAGCTTGAAGTTTAAAATCAACCTTTACACTTGGATTCTTTTGAATTAGTTTGTATTGTTATTGCATAAATACACCATCTGTCCAACACAGAATACCTGTAGAATCAGTCTATGAGATTTGTTGGTGCAATATTTAACCCTTTCCAGCTCTCCCAAAGACAGACCCTCTACTCATGTCCCCTCGTGTCAGCCCAGAACACTTTTTCGTATGTGCACAGACACATTTAACACTGTCCATTCAGGTGAGGAAAGGGTTAATATACTGCCCAGTTGTGTCCTGTCATAAAATGGCCACTTGCAAACAGCTAACCGCACGAACGCCCAGCCCAGATTTCAGCTAGTTCTGGAGATTGGGAATACTATTTTTTTTTATTTTTATTTTTACTTTTTTCCTACTTGGTGGGGGACGTGAGGAATTCTTTCAAAGGTTCCCAGCCCTGCCAGCTCCTCAAAGCCCAACCTCACCTTGCTGCCTGAATGTTAAGATTGAAAACAATGTTCATAACGTTCAGGGAGAAGATGAAATGGGCAGTGGAGTGGCAGATCTGTGAATCTTTGCTCGCCCTGTTTCTTTCAGAGATTATGGACAGGGGAGGAAGAAGGGGTATATGGAAATTAAAATAGAGTTATGATTGTAGAGCCTAATAAATAGTAACTGAAAAACTGCACAAGAAAAATGACTGGAGGTGGGGGAAGCTGAGCTAGAGGGTTTCTGAGCATCGCTTCTTTAATTTTACACATTAATGCTCAGCATATCTCAAGATATGACCCATAGTATCCTACATTTATAAATGCCTACTTACAGCCTTGTGAACAACTTCTACTGTGGTGTCCAATTTGGTTGAAAGCTATTGTATCGGTGCTATTGCATATTTTGAGTGATGCTGACCTTCTCTTGGGAAATCAGGCCAGAAATAACAGCACCATGCTACTAGAAACCCAGGTAACCAAGGTTTTACCAGCAAAGATGGTTGTATATATTACAGAGATATGGCCCAGAGTGACTATAGAGAATGGCAGAGAAATACAAAGCAGTTTGCTGCTTAACTGGGCCAATTCTGTGTTTACTCAGACAATTATTATAAGAATAGGAAAATTATTTCAGTAGCTTATGCAAGCTTATTTCAGCTTCATGCAATCTCAGAAGATGAGAAAGAGTAAGGATCTATAAATAAAGAGTCATAACAAGTTAGGGGTATATCAATCAGGAGCAGCATAGCCATAAAGCATCTGTTTTCAACCAGAACTTCCCTTGAGAAAATCTGGGTTTGGTTTTGTGCGATTAGGTTTGTCATGTGTCGTCAACCGCAACAGAAAAGTGGGAGCAAACAGCCCTGGAGCAATTGGTACAATCACCATACAGAAGTGGCTATATCCCATATAGCAGCTAGATGGGTTAATGGGAGCTCTTACATATATGCTGGGAAATCAGCTACCCTTGCCTCTACAACCTGAAAGAGAGTGAGTGAGAGAGACTTCAGAACCTCACTGCAAGTGAATGCGTCACGGCAGATACAGCTAGAACGGGAAATTATTTATGGGCTGAACAGTTAAGTGTGCCGTAAAGGGAAACATGGCTGGTCCTCAGCAACATTCATCAAATTCAGAAACTAAAACCACTGTTGTGGTTCTGATCTCTGCAGAGAAGTTTTGCTCTCTTTTTTTTTAAGCAATACTGAAACAACTACATGCCCTAGAACTGCCTCCTAAGTCACTGTCTGCTCTGAGTGAAGGGATTGAAGGGACTGATGTCTTACACTGATTTTCAGTGTAGCCCTTATCCTGACTGGTAGATTTCAATTTCAAAGGATAATGAGACCAGGCCACTGAGGGAGTGGCCCTGACAACTATTAGGGTACTATCTGATCACCAGACTCAAAATAAAGTGCCAGGAAAAAACACCTGAGCTTGCTCCAGAAGAATCAATTCCTGAACCAGCCTTGGTCCAGCTAGGTCAGCAGGATCTTTCTTGGCAGCTAAGCTCCTACATCTGCCTGTGGTACTACACCAGCACTGCCACACTCTCCTGCACGTGGGCTAACACTGACGCACTCTGCCACAAAGACTCTCAGTCCACCACACTGCTTATCTCTACAAAGCACTTTTTTACACCAAGTAGATGTACTCTAAGATCCAATGCCTTTTCCACTTTACTAATGGAAGTTAGTAATATTGCTGTATTCCAATACCATGGCAATTGCCAGAAGAGAAGAAACTAGAATATCTAGGGAGCCATCTGGTTAACAAGCCTTCAAGAATTGAAAGTGCTTTGTAGAGAAAGACATTATCTATTGCTGCCAGGCAAGCTATGGAAGCTGCAGTTGCCCAAAAGTTCTGGATGAAAATGAACTAAAATGAATCTCAAGTCAGTCACTGAAAAGAGAGGCATTAAAAGCCAAACGTGCTACACTGAAAGAACAAGCACAATATTTTCTATTTCCTTAATCCTGATCCTTGCCCAAAGCAACAACAAAGTTACAATCATTAATACATGAAACTGTTTTTTCCTTCTTACATCAGTTTTTAGAAATGAAGGAAATACTTGGCTTCCTCTAAACCAGTACAACACTTCAAAAGCCAAAGCTAAGGGTGCTTTCCCTGACATTAAGGGGCAGGGTTCACGCTCAGCAGCTGCAGAATTGAGAAACAATTAAGAGGACTGCTCGAGAGTCCTCCAGCAGTGCAGTAAGACTTTTGATAATTATCATCTATGGCTCTCAGTATTGTTATCAGCTTCTGCTGATGTGATTTACTTTGTTGAGGTATGGTTGTATTCCTGACTTAAAAAAAAGGTTTCCTTTTCTTTGGACTTCAAAGATGAGTGTGCTTGAACAGCTGCAAATCCAGTAAGCAGCCAGTCCTACCACTGAATGAGATGTTTAGGGGACAATCATAAAGTAACTTCATTTTTGTAAGGACATGGGGAGCAGAATGACCTGAAAAGATCTTATACAGTTACTTTCTTCCATTGTTATTCCTAGTGTAAATCAGATGCTGCTTTCAAGGTTAGGTTTTCTAGAGCACATCACAAGGAAACTGGGAAAAAGATTCCTTGCAAAAAGGTTAAACAGCTTCACTCCAGCTAACTAATGTTAAAGATTCACTGTTTGAATAGTATTAGTAGCAGAACTGATGAAGTCTCCAGTAATTGCATCTGTGTTTCTTACCACTATTCTGCATCTTTGTGCTACAGAATGCTGATATTTACATTATGCAATTTTGAGGCCCCAGCCTGTCTTTTTCCTTGAATCCATCATCTTTGCTGTGGGAAGATAAAATGTTTGCTCCTTTTGAAGAGCATCCACATGTGGTTATGGAAGAGCACTTCAAAGACTAGAACAAGATAATCAGGGCCTGACAATTTCTGCTTACTCTAGGTTATCACCTGTGGGGAACTCAGATGAGGCCCTGTGCACTCTTCCACCATGCTACAATGCAGCTCTTTGTCTCTCCTACTTCTCAAATTGCACACCCACCTGTTAGTATTAGTGGGAAGATGACAGATATTTTTTTCCCATCTATTACAATAAAAAATATATATCAAAAGTCACCGTATGGGTTGATTATTAAAAAAAAAGCATGTCTAGGTACACATTTGCACATCTGCATGCACAACCTGCACAAAAGTTTGGTGTATTTGGTGTAAAGGTTCAAGCACGTTTAAAAAAGAAAAACAGAAAACATGTATGCTCTGTCTTTATATATGAATTATAAAAAATCTGTACATCTTGGAAAGATAAAGATGTCTTTGAAAACCCTAAGGAGAAAAGGTAGGAGACAGGCATAGCCACATTTATTTACAGGAGAACTCAGATTAACCGGTTGTAGGCAGAATTTATTCTAGTCACTAGTGCCCTGAAGCTGAGCCTAGCAAGAAGAAACGAAACTGAAATATTCTTTAACAAAAGTCAGTGAAACTATAATCTTCCCGTTCACCAATGGGAGGAAAAAAAAGTGAAGGTGCATCTCTCTATTGGACCAGCCATTTCTTTCCCTTTATGCAAATCCCAGCATCAGAAATGATTCCCAAGCATGTTCCAAGCCATTATTTGCTTCATCTCTCTCTCTCTCTCTCACTCCTTTCACTGTACGCTCATTTCCTCAGAATCCTTATCAACAGAAGTGAGATCCGCATCATATTTGGACTTCTATTCTTCACACAACAAACAAACTACTGTGAAACTTGCTGTCAACACGCAGACTGGACTGCCTCAGGGACTGACATGGGAAAGGTCTGAAACAACTTCCTCACTCCTCCTTCATAGAGAATTATTCACCACTGCTCTTATCCCTCCTATCTTCTACAGCAAGCCCCCATGCCCACCCATGCCTGCTGTACAATGTATCCCCCTGGCTGAAGCCAGGACAACACTGTGTGTTGAGGAGATGGTGGGATATGCCAGCCACTGCAGGCTGCTCTGTACACTCTGTTCTCAGGGCTGTTTGCTGTGCGGGCCGCAGGCTTCAGGCCTTTGAAGGGTTGAATACCATCTTTTGATTTACTATGGCTGATGGGGTATGGGAAAGCTTTACAACTGAAATACATAGAAGAGTTAAAAAAATAATAATTTTAAAAAAAAAAAAGAAAGAAAATAAAAAACAACACAGGAAAGACCTATATAACCACACAAATGATAACGAGTAATCAAATGAAATAGATCGAAGAAGAGACAATTCTTAGTAATAGTTTTAAATGACTTATAAGAAAAGCACAATTATATAACTCACCACTCAAAACAGTCTCTGTTTACACACGCATGTCATTGGTTGTCATTGGCTCAGGAGGATGGTGACATGCAGCTAGTCAGCACCAAGCATGATCAGCTTCAGAGGGTGTTCCTAACACTTCTCACCAGTAAGAGGATTTTGGCAGGAGCAAATGATGAAGACTTGGTTCTTACTTGTAACATTTTGGTTATAATCAGTCTCCTTAAAGAGTCAGGTGTGACTTCCAATAAACAACAGAATTTAAGTGGCTCTGTTAAGGTCACTCCTCCTTAAACTCTCTTTCTCCAACAGCAAGGTAACATTGCTGTTTTGAAGGCAGAAAGTCCCAACTAAAGGAAAATACCTTAGATTTGCAGCACTTCTTTGCATAATGTCTCAGCACTCTTACAATAAGTTGAAACAGTGAGAGATCAGTGTCAGTGCTGTCTCTGTTTGAGAAACTACTATCATAGTTGAAACTGACCTATTTCTTCTGCCCACTACTTGCTGAGTACACATCTGTTCCTAAGCTATCTGGACACTCAGTGGCGATTTAAACTTTTCCAATTGAGCTAAGAAGAGCAAGCATATGTATTCCAAACAAAACCATACCACATTGGTTTTCTTTCATTTGTTTGCTTTTGCCTTTTTCATTTTATTTTCTTTTCATAACATGAGTTTCCATAACCCTTTGGACAGATACTATTATTAATAAATATGAACTGGCTTAAAAGCATCTTCTCTTCTTTATTCTCCTAACCCAAAAGCTACAGTCTTATAGGAGATTAAAAGCAAAAAAAAAAAAAAAAAAACCAAACCAAACCAAAACAAAACAAAAAAAAAAAAACAAAAAACTACATGTAAGTTTTTAAAACAAGCTGGCCGCTTGCTGGACAACGTATTTCCCAGGTAAGGATAAGAAACCTTAAAATCATCACTCAAGCTCAACTGGGCACAGAAAGTCCTTGATAAATTTATAATATCTACCTAGGATATGAGCTGAAAAACAAGAGCCATTACTACAGGTATGGTAAAAAAACACTGCTGCACTCTACAAAATCACTACACAGTTTGCTCCTGATATCAGCATAGTGGGACTTTCATGATGCTAATGTTGTTAGCTCAAAATAATGTGGAAGCTTGCTCCTGTGGGGTTTGGAATTTTGAAAACTGGCACAAGATTTTGCAGACCATGAACATAAAGTACCCAGGACTTCACATTTTCCATAATCATTATACATGATAGTTCTGCCTTTTGATCCAGAATCTCTTCTTAATTATATTGTGGGATTGACATGAAGCAACAAGTTGCATCAGTGCAAATGAAAGTAAACTTCACCTCCTGTGCTTATGCTCTTTAAAAAGGAGGCTACTTGTCATTCACTAGTAAGAAAGTGGATAATCAAACAGCTCATTTGTTGCCTCTCAAAATTTTTCACTGTTATTATTGTTGAATTTGTTTCTAATGGTCTTTTATTGTTTTCTGTGACTCTAAGGAGACAGAACAACCTTTTGGGATGGAGGGATGCACTTTCATTACTGTTGCCTTTATTTTAACAAAGAAACTATCAAAAGATACAGGCTTTTTTCCTAGATATTAAAAGCTCTAAAGGCTGAACGATAAACTAATTATGAAATAGAAATAAATTGTAGTTCAGCAAAATAGAATATTTAAGATCAATTTGTAGCAAACACTGTCAAATTTTGTAAAAGGTTTAGGATGCACAAGACTTCTGCTTGCCACCGTATCCATTTTGCTTAATTCTCACATTTGGCTTTGACTGTTTTGAGTGATGCTGTACGAATGAGGGATGTAACTGATCAAAAGATGGACCAAGCAGCATGTCTCACACAGAGCTCACCAGTCCCAGACCAAGAAAGGAAACTTAAAAACTTAAGACTTTAAAACCAACACTGTTCATAACAAAGAACTAACAGCAAATCTCCATGCAGCAATACCTCCACAATAGAATATAATTATGAAGGTCTCAGCAGCTATTTTAGTGATCAATCCAATCCAATCAAACCAACAGAAATTAAACAAAATAATCTTAAAAACCACTAACCACAAGCCCAAACTAAGAGTGAAGGCAGTGGGAGGTTTTTATACGATACCTAAGTTGACCATTAGTTTGACACGGCCTCCATCCAGCTCCAGACGCAGAGTGTCAGCAGAATCTCGTGAGGTGGTTGCCATCAACAGCCCATAGGCACGCTGGGACATGAAACGGAAGGACACATCTTCTGCCTCAGTATGCATGACCATGGGCATGATGATCTTCATGTACATGCTGCCATCATAGCTCAAGATAGAGGCCTCTGTAAGGAATCAGTAAATAATTTCAAAAAGATGAAAATAAGTTACACTTCTACATGATCTCCACCCCTGAGGAAACCTGACATCTACTACAGAGCACTGTGTTTACAACTGCCACACACTCCAGGAACAGCACATCACTCTGGGTAGAACAGAGCTACTGTTCAGCTGCATCCGGCAACTCTACATAAAAAGTATGAGCAGGAAAAATAAAGATAAGTGTGTTAGCTTTGGGCCCTTTTGAGATAATGAGATAGGACAGACTCCATTTTTCACATCTTCCAGAAAATGCAATCTTCTCCATTAGTTCAGCCTATCCTAGCACTTCCTGGAGTGAACAGTTCAAACACTGCTCCTAGGGCATTGAGTCTTGCCTTAGAAAATGCAGTCTCTATTTCTGGTGCTCTTAAAAGTCGTTGCTTATTGAGCGAGGAATTTCATTCCATTGTTGGGACTTTAAAGGAAAAGAGAAACCATATACAGTTATAGTCTGTGGCAACACAGTCCCTCGACAATCAATCTTGCATGCAAACCTTGGACAATGGTAGCATCTAGAAAGCTGCTCATGGCCTAAATAGGCAAATCAGACAAGAGGTATATAAAACAAGCAAGAGAGAATTAAGTCTGCATATGTTCCATTGTTTCTGGAAGTGGAATTTCATTTATCAAATTAAGCAAGCCTAGCCGTCAAATATGAATTATCATTAATACAGGACCTATAAAGTTCTCCAGCGGACAGAATTTATTTTAGAGAAGTGAAAAAAAAAACGTAATTAGAACTGGCACAATGAAAAGGAACATACAACATCTAAAGCAGGAAAGTGAAAATATGTTTCCGAAATTTAAGTTAGACTAAGAAGAGCTTCGACAGGTACATATTATTCAAGAATAATCACAGAATCACAGAATCATAGAATCACAAGGTTGGAAACGACCTGTAAGATCATCTAGTCCAACCGTCTTCTCATTACCATTGCTACCACAAACTAAACCATCTCTTGTAGCTCCTCATCCAGGCGCCTCTGCCACCACCTCCCTTGGCAGTCCATTCCAATGCCTGACCACTGCCTGAGAGAAAAAGTTCTTCCTCATGTCTAACCTAAACCTCCTCCAGTACAACTTGCGGCCATTTCCCCGGGTCCTGTTCATTGCCTGGGAGAAGAGGCCAAACCCCTCTTCACCACAACCTCCCTTCAGGAAGTTGTAGAGTGCAAAAATGAAACGTTTGTCATAGGAAATGCTATTTAATATTGAGTTCATAGATCCATCCCACTTGTAATCATTTGATCTTTTTTCAGAGTTCTGTTGTAATCTGGCAGACAAATATCTGCAAGCATGAACAGGTTTCTTAACAGTTTTTCCCACACCAGATTTGTACTGTTTTGAGGGAGCTCTTCTTCCTCCTTACTAACAATCTTTCTGGAACTCTGCTGTCACAACTGGTGGCAGTGCAATGCAAATGATGAAAAGAACAAATCAAAATCCACATCAAGTTTAAGTGTAATTCAAACATTGGAAATGGCAGGAGATCAAGGCAGAACAAAAGGCAGGAGTGTGGGAGGGAAAAAAGGAATGATATTACGTTTTTCTGTCCCCTCCGAAGATATCAAAGAAAACTGAGTCTAGTGGGAAAGGAGTTCCAGTACTTAATGGTCTCTATTTGTTCAGGACTTTGCCTGTGAAAACCGAAAGTCTTCTTTGAAGGGGTAAAGTCTTGTGAAAGAAGTGCAGCAACCAGTACGGCATGGCAATCATTGTTTCAGTCTGTGCATATGCTCTAAAGCACTTCTACCAGCAAAATTTACAAATCTGCATAAATATATTAATGTACGAATCAGAGCATCCCTTTTCCCCAGAACCATTTCCTCCCAGAGGCAGATAAGTAGATTACTCCATGTAGGACTTTTACAACAAAGCTATGAATAAAAATCCAAGAAGTAGGAAAAAAAAGACTGATTTAAACTCCCTAGACACATTCTCACCAGCCTCCCTACCTACACAAGAAAAGAAAACACAGTACCAACTGAAACAACAAATATTTGGAATATAGATGTTCTTCTTAGACATCTTCATTTTTCACATCATCAGCTGACCCCCTCATGTTGGTGGGACTGGAACTTTTAGAAGAAAACAATAAGCTTATTAGAGCTAACTCTTATAGTCCTCTCAAGGCCTAAATGTTTGGTGCTAGAGTAAGAGAGTTGGACAGGAAAATAAAGAACATGTCAAGTTCTTCCAAGTCCATGCTGGAAAGGATCCACAGTGGATAGAAATAGGGATGCAGTGTGGTAATAAATATGCAAAATAAGTGGTAAACAATTATATGGTTATGAAACATTTGACGGGGATCACTGTGGTTGGGTGCAGCACTGGCGCAGCAACCCATCATACTAATATACATCATGCAGCACCTCCGCTGGTCATGGGACATACAAGCTCATTAAAAAGAAAACTTCTCCATGAGCACCATTAAAATAATACGGTTGTGAACAACATCTTTATTCACAAGCGTTCTGAGCTGCATTCCCACACACTGTCATGGTCTGTATGCGCAAAGTGCTTTACATGCAACACCCAATCAGCCATACATACACCTTCTGGGCACCAGCTGTCAGTGCTGCCCAGGAGACTCGCATCTTTACTTGGCCAAGAAACAGTCGGAACGAGCTGGAAAGAAAGATTTTTATTTCAAGGTGGGGGGGGGGTTTCCTACTTTTCAAAGTGCAATTCTATTCCCCCTCACGCCTGCAACTCTTTCTTGCCACCCACAGCTGCAAGCTGGAACCAAATGTACTGTACATTATACATATACTCAAAGTCAATGCATATGTACACACAAACCCCTCCTTGCTCTCTCTCCTCTCTGTGTGGATTGTATTAGAAAATGCAGTCAAGCATGAAATGGCTCTTTTGATGCCTTCAGCTCAGATGTGCCTTGCATGAAAAAGTTGTGTGCCCTCACACCAGAATAGCTGGGGTAAAGGAATTGGAGAGTATCAGGACCATGAGTGGGGGTTGCTGACACAAGTACCTCAGCTCTGCTACTTTCTTGTTCACAGAGCCATGCCATGGGTACTTTGGAAATATATGTGCTTTTTTTTTTCTGCAGACACTGTAAGACAACAAATCAAAAGACTGGTAATAATGACTTTCTTCCCTTCTAAAACAATGCATTTGTGCCCTTCAGGTCCAGTGATTCCATTGACAGAAAATTACTGTCCACAGACAAGAAATGTGAACTGTTATTATATTTGTGTAAGACTAATATGAAGAACACCCATAATTGCTGAAGATGGCAGAAAAATCTAGAACCTAATGTTTTGAATAGTTTCTGAATTAAAATCTGAACTCAAAAATGTCAGGGAAAAAAAAAAAAAAGAAAGCCACTGATGCCTAAATTAACCCCAAATTCAAATTCTATAAGCATGGCTTGTACTTGGAATGAATTACACAGTGAGATAAAGCAGGAGGAGCCCCAAGGGAAAAATGTAATGTAGGAGGCAAAAAGAGATCTCACACTGAGCAAAATCTCTCCTTACCACCTCCTGAACTCCTTGCTTGTTCTTCTAGGTATCCTTTCCTAAACTTTGCCCATAGCATTCTGTGTATGGCATGCAGAGGACCTAAGGGTTCTCAGCATAGTTCCAATCACTATACTAACAGCCATGTCAGTTTAGAATTAATAGAGACAAACCAGACAGAGGAAAGCTGAAAGTAAATTTCCAATTGGAATCGATAATCAAAATTAATTTAAAAATCAAGACAGTGTTTCAGTTGATACTCAGTAGTACCCTAAATCAGGTACTACTTCAGTTTCAGTTAATGTCCCTTCTCTGAAATATAGCACTGCACTGAATCCTTGCAAAAATTATGCAGACAAAATCAAATAGCCTGAAATAGTTGAAACGGCTTCTATGCAACCATGTGAGAAGATGACCTTCTGCCCTTGTGTGTGCCCTCTGCTGACCTGAGCCTGTCCCAGTTCAGAGTACCTAAGCACTTGACATCTTCTAAATGTAAGAAATTTCATTCTCACCTTACAAGTCTTCACCATCTGAAGTATCTGTAAGCTTTTTCAGCACACCTCCTTGCAAGCAGAGCTTTCCCTCTAACTGTAAGAAAAGTCCTTCAGAGGGAGGCATTGCTTAGTAGCAATCACAGAAATAAATCATATCTCCTTGTCCTAACAGCAGTCTCCAAAACTCAAGGATGGCACATTATCGCTAAGCAACACATACAGAAAATCTGCTGATGATTGAATGTAACCTGGCAACAACTAGGTGACCTCAGTTCTCCTGTGCTGGCAACTTTTGCCTAAAAACAGGCATCCATTTGATTGTCTTTAGTCAACTGCAGCAAAGGGATTGTAACACTTCTGTACAGCACCATAAATACAAGCAGCATTTAGTTAATCAAGTTAAAATATAAGCACATAGTTATTCAAGTTAAAATATATGCACATTCCTTCCACCTGTCTACTTTCAGGGTAGCCATTATATTTGGAGCAATGTGCAGCACAAAAGATTTCACCCATGTTGCAGGGACCTGCAGAGTAGACAAAAAGATCTAGAGTTGCATTTACCAGATCTCAAAGCCAGAAGCTTCACTGCTATTCGCTTGGAGATGAAAAGAGGAAGAAACCAGGTGCTAGTTCAAAACTGCCCTGACATAATGCCAGAGATCTGTGAAAATCGATATGTTATTAGGAGCAATTAGCTTCCCAGTCTTGTGCTCTGAGACCCTGCCAGCTTTAATTTTGCACTTACCATCCAAAGGAGCAATTTACTGCTGCTTCACCACAAAGCTCTGCATAAACATTCTAGGGAGGTTGCAAGAGACATATTCTTGCAATACAGAGATAGAAAAATATTCAATATCTCTTCGTGATCTTTGTCTTGGTTTCTAACCTTTCTCCTGTATTAATCTTCATTCTTTTTGGCTTTCCATCCTTTTCAGCTTTCATAGTGCCTTGTTCTTCCTTGTGGTTTCTCCCTTGTCTCCC